AAAATTTAGCTCGATTATCGAACTCTATCCACAAAAATGAAAAAATGAAAAATTTAAATGAAGTGAGATTTTCTTCAACAACTTTTTTTAAAAAAAAAATTATTGGCTTTCTTTGAACTTCCGCTTTCCTTTGACTAACAAATCCTTCTACCCACCTCTCATCCGTTTCTATTTTGTCAGTATGTGATAATTATATTATCTATTGTGCTCGAGTAAGAGATCCATGTATTAATATTGTGGGTTCTCCTAGTAGTTGGGTTGACAAAGTTGCACGTTAAACAAAAATGACAGGAGAGGCTGCATCTAGGGGCGGAGCTAGGATTGTCTCAATGGAAATAACGTAAATTCTTAAATTTCAATATATAATTACAACATTATTTTCATCAAAATATGTATTCTTGATAAACTGTTTATAAACATAGTTACATCAAAAGAATGTTATTTAAAGGTGCAACTCATATATAAGTGATGTACAAAAAAATGCAACAAAAAATTTTACATCAAAAGTATCTTTTAGTGTTCGAGATTCTATACAAAAGGAGCTCCTAACTCTTGAACATCCAATAAATTCTTATAATTGTTTTCGACGAGTTTTCATATTTTGGAACCATTGCATAATCATTTCATTTTCAATGACACTTGAGACATTTTTCTCAATATATGCAACCAAGCAATCATTCATCCATTGATCTCTTATTCGATTGCGCAATCAATTCTTTAATATGTTCATTGTTGAAAATACTCTTTCGATGGTTGCAGAGGCAACTAGTAAGATAAGTACTAGTTTGATGAGTAAATATACCAACGGATATATTATATTCTTTTTGTCTCAACTAACTTCTCTTCAAGCCCACTAATTCCTTTAACTTCTGAAAATTCATTGGAGTGCATATCAAGTATATAAGTCTCAAGTTGATTATCAAGTATCAAGAGCTCCATTAAGAAAAATTCTGAAGGATAAAATTGAGCAAGACAAAGCAACTTCTCCTTGTTGAATGCAGAGAATGAATCTATTGGATTTAGGCATGCCACACAAAGAAGTAGTTTGGTGTTCACCTCAGTAAAACGATCACTAAGCTCTTCAAGTTGCATATCTAACACCGTAGAAAATAATTCAACACGATAACGGTGTAGATTAGTGACTTTTTCACCACGTCGTGACCTTCCTTGAGCTATGTATATCTCATCCATATTCAGAATAATAATATGTTTTTCACAAAAAAAAAAAAAAAAGAAACCTCGGCGACTAAAAAATCACATCCATCATCCCTCATCATTTGTAAACGTTGTTTGGATGCTTTAACTAAACCCATAACATTTACAATATCTTTATCTTTCCTTTGTAATGCTTGTGATAGTTCATTTGTAATTCTCAATACACCTTCATCAAATGTAAATTGAATACCAAATCGAAAAATTGAATTGAATCCAATAAAACACATGTTTCACCTCTTTGCTCAGAAGTTGTATCATCCTCTACAATAATTTCAAGCACATCAACAAACAAAACAATCACATTTATGAGAGTGTCATAATGTGAGCCCCAACGTGTATCACCGGCCCTTTGAAGACTACTTTCTTGATGCAAACCACGCCTACTTGATAACTCTCCACTGTTTAGTGCTTGAATAATCTTACTAGCTTGCTTCTCTCTTAAAATATCTCTTCGTTTGCATGAAGCTCCAACAACATTTAATAAATTAGCAACAATATTGAAAAACAATGCAATTTGATTGTGATTTTTCGCAACAGACACAAGTATGAGTTGAAGTTGATGAGCAAAACAATGAACATAAAAAACAGATCTATACTCTTTTATGATGAGACTTTTGAGACCATCGAATTCTCCCCTCATATTACTGGCTTCATTGTCCACGTAATCTTGACAAACTTAATCCACGCTTTGAGAACAATGATTCAATTGCCGCTTTAAGTGATAAAACATTTGTATTAGTAACATGGATTATGCCAAGAAAACACTCAGTGATGCATCCCTTTTTATCCATATAGCGCAACAGAACTGTCATTTACTTTTTAACTAAAATATCATGAGATTCATTTACTAAAATAGAAATCAAATCATTTCCAAGATCAATGATTATTGCGCATGTGGTTTCACTTGCAATAACGTGGACAATATCATTTTGAATGTCTAGTGCTGTCACTTTTAGATTTTTTGGAGCATTTTTTAAAACAACATTGTTGATAGTTTCATTGTGCTCAGCAAGAAATCATAGAAGTTCAAGAAAATTACCTTGATTTTTTGAATCCTCAAACTCATCATGACCACAAAATGCTAACCCTTGACATAAAAGGAATCAAACATAATCAACTACTGCAGTTAAACGAAGTCGATACTCCTTGCGAGCTTAATTTGATTGCTTAGAATAAACAACTTTAATATGTTGTTTCTGATTCATTAGATTTTGGCACTTTCTCCAATTTTCATTATGAGCACTATTTGGACTCCCAATATGAATTTGAAATCTTTCTTTTTTCTTCTAGTTACGGAATCCCTCTATAACGAAAGCGTCACCACCCCCTTGCTCTCCCATATCACTTCTTATTAGATGGCAACATAAGTAATAAGCAGCATCTTTTTTAATGCTATACTCCAACTAACTACCAAACTCGTTGAACCAGGATAGACTAAAGCGACAACACAGCTTGCCGAATTTCGTTTGAAAAAAATTATGTTCATGGGGTTGACATGGGCCTTTTTGTAGATATGCTCTCCGAATTTCATCTCGGTCAGGGGGCAAGTTTAAGAAATTCTTAAAATTTTTAAAATTATAGCTAAGTCTCAAATTTTTTTAAAATTTCAGTGGGGACAACTGCCCCCATACTAAATCTGCCACTGGCTACATCTAGACTGTTTATCACTCCTTGTTCTTGGTTAGGTAATTGATAAATACTTTTTTTGCCACACCTAACAAGATCAAGATATAATGAATATAATAAAAGAAATCTTAATCCGTGCATCTATGTGTGGCAAGGTGTTATATTGTTATCTTTGTGGAATAAGGGCTTATTTGGATAGATTTTTGGAGAGAATTTGGATTGACTTGTCCAAACTTTTTCAAATTCAAACTCTTTTTTATAAAGATGGGATTCAACTTTGAATCCAACTCATACCCATGTTTGATATGCAACACATATACATGTAAGATCTACGTATATATCACAATTTTTTACAACCATTTATCCTTTAAAGAAACCCATGATTATGGGTTTAGTATTTGGGCCAACTACGGATTAGATTTGGTAACCCAAAATTGAAATTTTAGGGCCAAACATGAGATTTATGGGTCATTTGAACTATTTTCCCCGAACCCTGAACACCAATCCCCCAAATCCATAAAAGAAACAGGCTCTAAAGGGTACGGTAGCCAACTACAGATACTGTTTTAATTTTTTTATCGAAAATTCATTTGGTACTCGTTTTTCTTTTTTCTTTTTTTGTGCTCTGGTGCATAACAACAATAATTGAAGTTTACCAGCTATTATTTTCATAAATGCCGATATTATTTTCATTTTTTTATCGGATCGATTATACAATGAAACAAAGCACAAATTCACAACAGCTAAAAAAGCCAATCAAGCTCTCAAACCAGCAACATATATATGAAGAACAAACTCAAAAAACATAGAAATGTTATAAAGCACATGAAAGTGGTGAAGCCGTGTTGTTTCAGGAGACAAGGGCAATGCCGTTCACTAGCAAATCATCAGACAAAACTTTGTTAGCAGCCTCCGATGGATGAACACCATCCCAGAACACATACTCTGATGCATTTGCACACGTCCCCACGGACTCGGAATTGCATAGAATCGATGTTTCTACCAACCCAGTTCCACAACATGCCTTCCTTGCTTCAAAAAACCCTGCAATTTCAATAATAGGTTCACTGGTTATTGCATAAATTTGTATTACTGTTATAGAGTAGTTCAAAAGAGAGACAAAGACAGAGCCATAAATTCAGACATTTATCTCATATGACTTCCCCAAAAGAATCCCCGCCGTGGATCATTCGACTGGAAAAACTATTGTCATCGGCCCAACCCAAAAATTCCCCACAGTTTGCAAGCCCACCCTGGCCATGTGGCGGACCATAAATAAAGATACAAATGTGGGCCCGGCCCAAAATTTTTTGTCCAGACCCGCCTATGTACAACCCTAAAAGTATAGGAAATAGGAAATCAAGAGAAAAGTAACATGAAAAGAAAAGAAAAAAATAAGAGTGATTATTAAATCTAATTTGGAATTTGAGGCGGAAAGGAGTGGAGCATTGCATACCATAATCGGTAGGCTTGGTGACAAGGTCATGTAGAGGCTGGTAGATGTCCAAGACAACAAGATTGAGGCCTGAGAGCTTGTTTTGTAGGTTTATTGATGTCGCATTGAGCTTGTTGTTAAATGAAATCGCTGCTTTGTTCATCTTTGCTACGCAATTGTTACTGTCGTCGCCAAACAACGTAATGGCCGCCGGTAGACATCCAATTGGTGGCAACGTCGACACGCCAATCTTTCTTGCTCCCAGACCGTATAAATCCTGTCACAAAAATGTCCCAATTTCACGAGAAAAAAAAAAAAAAAAAACAAAAAGGGAATGTACTTATATATGTTTGAACATTTATTTAGGTCATGGTGTGGTTTTATTATTAAATTGTGGGCTCACATGTTGGGCCGGGCCATATAATGCTACATACACAAAACTCTCACTAGACTTCGCAATTCAAGAGTATCGTGAATTGGACCGCTTTTTATTATTTTATCACTTTCCTATGAAAATGGTTTCAATTTTGTGCTATTGCGATCAAATTTGTTGCCCAAGCCATTACTTGCCATTGAATTAGTGGTGGACTGGATTAAGCCACCATCAATCAAATGACACAATAGAATTATTCGACAAATTTGATCCAAATAACCTTGCTGACGTAAGGCATGACAATGTTTGGATCACATAACTCGGGTAGAGTTTGAATCTGAGTCTTAAAATTCTTATACCCATACTCAAGCATTGTCTGACTATAAACAAGGTCGAGATTGTTTTTCCAAACACAACTCACCTAAAAAAAATTAAGTTTTTTGGACTGAACTTGAGTTAGGTTCTGATTAACCCGCTCAAGTTGTACGCGAAAATTTGTCATGTACCCAGATTATAAAATCACAGAGCAGCATGAAGTAAACCATTCAAAGTAATGAGGTGACCTGAATGAACTTTGCGTACGATTGGATGAGAATGTCTGAGAACTGGTCAGGTGTGTACACCTTGTAGACAAGCGGATCAATGTAATAGTTCTGAACAAAGTCACTACTACCACCACTAACAAAGTAAATTGAACCAGAGATTATCGTTGAAGCATTGGCTTTCCCTGCAATCCCCACCAGTTTCTTTTGGTACTCCTTGTAAAACTCCAGTTGCTTGCTCAGTGGTATTGTGTGCTACAACACAATCTCCAAGTCAGATTGTATATAGGTTATTCATGTATGGGTAGGATTAGGATAACACAGTGTTACTTTTCAGTGTCGTATCGAGAGTCACGATTTAGTCATGGAGATTAAGTGAGTTTACAACAAAATAAGATAATTTTCAATCGACCCTATGATCAATTTTGGGATAGATCCGAAATGATCTCATTTTACTTACCTATACATACATAATCTGTTGTACTTACATATAGTTTTGCTGTAGGTTCATAGTAACCAGAACCACCAGAGGCAAAGTTGGCACCAATCAGGAGGTGCTTTCCTCTGGCTTTCTTGCTAAGATAAGGCAGTGGGTATGAGGTGAACCCTAGGTTCTCAGCTGAAACATTAAAGGAGAAAACAAAGTCATTAGAAAACACAGACATAGACAAATGTAGAGAGAGAGAGAGAGAGAGAGAGAGATACCAGTGAAGTCAGAGGCAAGTTTTCCATTACAGAACCTGCCGGTTGGTTTGTGGGTGACATAGTCTCTTCCGTAAGGAGGGAAGTTGGCTTTGACAATGGTGTAAATGTAATTGTTGTTGCCCACATCAAAAACTGAGTCTCCAAATATGAACAATGCAGGGACCAGAGGCTGCCCATTGACCACACACAAACCCAGAACTATAAGAAGAAAGGAAGTCCATGAAAATTTTGAAAAGCCCATAATGTGTGTATGTGTTAGAGAGAGAGAGAAAGAGAGAGGACAATGGAGATGGGCAGGTCAGAGGGACAATTTAAAGGAGAGCTTGGAAGATGTTCTTAGTGCCTAATTGGGTGGAATGGCAACATCTGAAGAAAATTGGCCCTCTTTAGTTTTGCACTTTAAAAATTATTTTTCTGTTTTGGAAAATAATTTCTAAAAGAAAACTGAGAAAAAAAAAGTTGGTAGATTTAGAAAATAAATTACTCTTTTGTATATTATTATAAACAAACACTTTTCCAAAATTTTGAAAACACCACCACCACATTTCTTTTTTCATTATTTTTTTGGATTACTGTCCAAACAAATTTTACTGTTTTTTATTCCATTTGAAGTCAAAAATACAAACAAGTTCTGTAATACAAAAAATATCAAAACACATTTTTCTAAAATTCTTTCAAAAAATAATTTTTAAATATTATTTTTTGAGACGCAAACCAAACAAGACCTTAATCATTTCCTTATCACTCAAACCGAGTCAACCTATAAAAAAAAAGAATGAAACCCATGTTTTAGAAATCTTTTGAAGGTGACTAAGTACTATAAACCAACAACATGCGATAGAAACGTTGGGGCTACGACTAATCAATCTTTTCATTAATGTTGGGGGAAAAATTAAGTTACATATTTTTATTTCTTTTTTGCGGTGTGTTACACGGATTGTAATATCATTAAATAATCTTTTATTGATTTTGCTAATGTGGATCAAGGAGATCTCTAATGAATGGGGATCTAGAAGCCTTAGTGTTGTGATTTTGGTTCACAGATTTTACACAAAAACATACAAACAAGACACGAACTCAATGTAGCACGGTTAGAATTCAATACGAGCCAAACATAATCTAAGAGACTCAATTGATATATCAAGAAATGTGGGTCTTGTAATTCTAAAGGATAGTTCAAATAGTAATAATAACAAACTGTAAACATAGACGTCATAAATTCGAATATTGACAATTTTTTGAAGGCAGGTCATGAGGGATAAATTTTTTATGAATATCCTAATTCTGACATAGATGATCTATTTTTGATTAAACCAAAAAAAAAATTAGTTGAAATACACATAAACTAACCTAAATAACCAAGAAAAAAAAAGTGGGGTTTGATTTGTCAAAATGAGTGAATGACTAAATCGCTACACAAAGAATTGGCGGTGGTTCCAACCAAAGTTCAACTGGAGTGTCTTGCTGAACTATTGTTTTGAGCTGTCCTAGCTTCTAAGACACCTTCCTTGCATGTAACCCACATCCAGAATGTCTATAGTACACCTGTGATTTGGCACATGTATTTAGACCAAATGGACACTCGGTTTGCTGGACTTTTTATATTTGTAATGGGTGCCTTTCTTTATGTTCTGGTACTAAATTATGCAGTAGCTTTCCTATCACCATCACTAGCTTTCATGAAGAAAACCATCACATCTTTGAGAAATCCATATAAATGGGTATTGGCTTGGATAGGCATCCCATTTTTTTATGATCGGAGTAGTGCTTAATTTAGTCAAGTTTTAGAATGCTCTGGTTCATCGGCTCAGTTGTGATTGGTGGAGCTTAGATTATTGTTTTAACTTGCCTCAACAGAGAAGTTTGCAAGAAATTGAATTGAAGTCGGGGCCAATTTTGCAACAAAAAAATTTAAAAATGAACCACTAGAATATTTCTATTAATGCTAAAATTTTTAATTTCTCAACATTGTTTTCCGAAGAATTGTCTAATCACACCATAAGTCTTACTCTAGATGCTCGAATTTTGAATACTGTTTTGTTTGACAATAAAATGAAAACTATTTACAACTAGAAACCTATTTGAACTAAACCAAACGATACATTGTTTGAACTCTACTCGTTTTCAAAATAAATTTCATAATCTGATTACATTCGAACCAAGTCGAGCTTGAGTTGCTCATATCATCTAACACCTTAGCCTTTTGGGAGATTAATTGTTTACCTTCACACAGGCATGACAATAGGTTTGAACAAAGACATTGTCAAATTGGGGTGGCTAAGTTACCCCTTCAACATATGATTTGGTGGGTTTTAAATCTTTTGTAGCCTGCTTACAAGTTGATGGGTCTGTTTCTCCTAATTCTGTATCAGGACTACAGCTTGGAATGAGTAAGCAAAAGTAGGGTACGGCTCAAAATAAGCTTATTCAATTAAGCCAATTGTCTATCCGTCGGATGGTGAAAATTATTAGATCCACAGTGATATTTAAGCCTCTTGCTGTCCTTATCAACATTATAAACAGGGACTCAACTACAGTGCCTAAGAAAAAAATTTTGTGCCGCACCTCTAACTTTTATTATTTTAATAGTTATTTTTAAAATTTTGATGGGTCAATTCACAATTAAAAAAATATATTTTTGTGGATGATTTATCACTTTTGTGAGTATTTTTATTACTGTTATGGGTATTTTTATCACACTTGTGATAATTTATTTTTACCATTTTTATTCGTTACAAAAAAAAATTATCATTTTTATAGGTAATTTATCATGTTGTAGTAATTATTTTTACTATTTTTTTAAGTACCACAACAGTAATAAAAACACTCACATATATAATAAAAACAAACACAAAATTGATTAATAAAGATATGGTACCTTAAAAAAAAATTGGTACCGTAATCAATCCTATAAACAGGACAAGTCAGTCGACCCTTTACCATAATCTAAGGTACCAATATTAATGCAAAGGCGATCCTTAGCCTCTTGGTTGAAAAAATCTTGAAAAAATGAAAAAAAATCGGCTAGGCTTACTTTATTTTTTATTCATGATGGTGCTAAAAATTAATTGGACTGAACTAAGGAATGGACTAGGGTGAAGCCCAACGAGTGTGTGTGTGTAATGCAAGAAGAAGACAACGATATGAATGCAACGAGTGTGTGTGTGTAATGCAAGAAGAAGACAACGATATGAATGGTTCCTCTAACAAAGAGACTACCATAAGAAAAACTTTATTCCTCGAAAATTGTATTGCTTGAAAAAAATGGCTGTTAGCTACAGGGTGTTTTCCTTGAAGCCTTTATAGGATATTGCCTAGGTAGCACTTGATGCTTTTCCTAATGGCTCTCTCTCTCTCTCTCTGTGTGCAATGTAGAACTATTATTTATTTATATAACTGGTAGTTAAGTTTTTGTATTTGTTCCTTTTGATTAATTATGTGGTCCCCTTTGTGTTTATCTTTGTCTTGGAGCTATTGTCCCTAACACTTTTCTAACCCCACTACTCGTCGACTGCAATACTTGATCCGTCTCTACTATTTGTGGGTTTTTGTTTATCAGAGCCATCAAATAATATTCACTTGTTCCCTATCCACGTGTCATGCTACAACTTTTGCAAATAGGCCCGGTGTTGTGCTCCCATCTCTTGAGCTAGTACTTATACCGAACTTGTTGACATTAAGCCTCAATGGAGCTGAGTCGTAGCCTAGTTCGTGTCCAATAAATATTATCTGGATGAGCTACTTGGGTTGTTTTCCACAAGCCCAAAGGATTTTGAGTTTTAGAGCGTCCAGACTTAAATCTATCATTACCAATTTACATGCTAAATAATTTAATGGGCCTCTAAGTATTAGAGTCTAGAAGAGTGTAATGGGCTCATAGCCCGTGGATCCAACCATTCACTGGTTAACAGCGGGAAAAAATACATTGCTCAAATCCAATTGAGAGGTGTTTCTAGGTGGGCCACACTATAAATAGCCTCAAATTCACATGGCCCTAGTTGGATTGGACGTTGGTTAGACAGAATCCCACGAAAGAGATCAACCAAGGGAGAGCGTCATTGTTCAGAACCCAGCCCATGCAAGTGACTATTTGATACCATACAAACAGGGGCGGCCCAATAAATCCGGAGGCGCTAGGCGAGAATACGAAGCAGGACTCTATTAATAGCCAACAATTATTAAAATATATTCTTTTAAAAGCTATTTTTCTAGCTTTTTGAAATGCAAAAAATATTGATATATAGCTTTTTTAAATTTTTACATTAAAGTTTTGTTATATAGCTTTTTCATTGATAATATAGTTAATTCATTTAATCTTTTTTGTGACATAGTTGATCGGAGATAAGATTTTGTTAATTTAAATTTTGAAAAAATTTTCTCTGCTGAAGCAATTTTTACTGCAATATTTCTAAACGCTATACATGCATTTCGAAAAAAATCTAATTGTTTTATATAAGTTAAGCCTTCAACAATCAACTATCAAGATTCAAGCATTTAAGTTTTTGTCAGAAAATGATAAATCAACAATAATATCAAAAATATGATATCAACTTATTACAAATTCTAAGCACACCACACTTCTAAAAATTTCTAATAAAAAATGAGAGAACAATTGAACAAACTAGTTTATTATAATAGATTGAGCCCAAAAAATTTTGACCCTTGAATCTTGATCGCTATCAATTAATTGATGGGTTTTTGAACTATAAGAGAATAGAGAGTCTTGGTGTTCTTTTTTTGTTCAGATTCAGGCTTCACACTTCACAGAGAGAGGGCATAAGGGAGTGACGTTAAACAAACATTGTGGTTTGTGAGTGAATCTCGTAATAATAGCAGTTGATAAATTTGTGTGAGAGAGAAAGAGTGATGTAGGGAGATTTGCCTAATTCCTTCACAGATGAGAGAGAGAGAGAGACATCTAGTCGTCTACCTTCCTTGTTTCAGAAGTCTAGCAGTCTACTATAGTTGGCAAGTAGAAAATTTTTTTAGGTAAATTATTGAAGTGTTAATGGACCTATCAATAAAATTTTGGTCCTCTCAAACTAGCTCATCCAAAATACATGTACCCATAACTAAAACTCTTAATAGAGGCCTCCAAATTTTTGCAAAAATTTGGGGCCCCTATGCCGCCAACTAAGTGGCCTAGACCTAGGGCCGGCCTGTATACAAAAAAGTGAAAATTGGAAATGAATCTTCCTAGATGTACTTGTTTGAAAATAAATATTGTAAGGAAACTTATAAGGGGTTAAGTCC